TGAACTTCGAAGAATCTCCATAAATCTGCTATCAAATCAAATATTAAGTTGGTTGAAATCTTGGATCTAAAAAAGGAGGGAAAGAAGAAAAGGATAAAATATTTAGGATCCTTGATTAATGATTGTGTATGATCTCGTAAAATAACTGGATGATTTTTCGAAAGATTTAAAAATATGGGCTAAAAAAAATCCAATTGTTCTATCATTTTTAATGAATTGAACATAAGATTTCAAAATAAATACCAATTTGTAGGAATTAGAGTATCAATTTGACTATTGTATAACCAACCCAATTAGGTTGGTCACAGTATAGTTGGGGTTTGTAGGAATGGCTTGTTCTAATCGACGATACACGTTATCGAAACAGTCGGGTACAAGAATCCTTGGCAGTAATAGTTAATCCTGAGGAAGGAGGGACGATAATGGTATCTGTATACAACGATTAGAAATCAAATGATGGAGAAGTAACGCTGTTATTTATTTATATGGTCAGTATTTTGTTAAGTAAACACGATTAGTGTATATAAAATAAATCTAAATATTATATTTATTTGAAATAATAATTTGTAAATATTAAAATCTTAAGAAATAACTAACAGCTTAAGAAATAATCAGGTCAGTTGTCGAGAATGGTTGAAGAGTAGAGAATAGAAAGAAGGGGAAAGGATAGAAGAATAGAGATGGAAAGATGGAAAACAAAAGAGTGTAGTAAATAAGAACAGTATCGAAGTGTTAAAAGATAGATAAAGCGGATGATGATGATGAAAATGTGAAAGAAAAAAATGAAGATGGGTAGATTCGTAAAGAGGCTTAAACGACGATAACTTAGCACATTGCTAGGGAGTACTCAACAAGACCACAAAATCCCCGTTTCGTTCACACGGTGAAAAGCAGTGTCAAGAGATTCAGGACGTGAAATATGCGATCGTATTGTGTACGAGTGTGCGTCCATCCATGTCTCAATGTACGTAAATGTATATATAGGTGTGCAGTGTATATGTGTCATATGATCCGACGGAAATACGAGCCGATGAAATCATGCCTGAGTATCGTCGTCGTCGTCGTCAACAACGAGTCGATGAAAACTCGCTCTCTTGGAACTAGAAACGAAATAAAAAGACAGCATGCCCCCTCGGTGCCAAGGAGAACACTCCGGTGTAATTAATAAAGTTTAATGAGCGCGGCCTTTTTCTCTTTCTTTCATTCTTTCTTTCTTTCTCTCTCGTCTTTTCTTTCTTTGAAATCCTAAAAGCCCTTCGTTCGTCTTTTCTTCGTATTTTCTTCTCACTTTCTTCTCACTTTCTTTTCTAAGAAGGCACGCATTTCTTCGTATTTCTTCTTTCGTTTATCTTTACTTTCTTCGATTTGAACGAGTTATCAGGATAGATGATCTTTAAATTTTCTTTCATCTCTTTTTTTTCTCTCTCTTTCTTCATCTCTATTTATCTCTCTTTTAAACTCTTGTACAGATTCACTATTAAAACTCGCTCTCTATCTATCTATCTATCTATATATATATACAAAATGTACTGCAATTCTCATCGAATGCAACTATTACAGTAAGCGAACACGAAACATAGTTCGAGTATATAAACTTGGGCATATATATATAGGTCGAATAGGAAGGAGAGAACCTTGACGTCAGAGAGACGTACATCGACTAATTTCTGTCTAGCTTTGACAAGCTTTTCAGAGACCGTACAGAAGGATCGTTTTCAAACGTTCGAAACGCATGCACAAATCGTCCTTGTAGTTGCTTCCCTGCAGATCGTTGCTGAGTTACCGAAAGAGGAAAGACTCTTTCTACAGAAGGTCGAATAGGGAAAGAGAGAGAAAGAGAGAGAGAGAGAGAGATAGAGAAAGGAAAAGAGGAAGAGGATTGGAAACTGGGAGTGCAAGAAGGACGCCAAGTTACGCGCTAAAAGCGGAACCAACACAGGAAGCTCATTAAGTTGCACCCCGCGGGCTGAGGTGCGCTCACACACACACAGACACGTACATAGATACACATAGAGAGATACAATACGGAAGCCACCTCTCGGTTCCAAATCCCACCCCCTCTAGACATCCCATCCCTATATCTAACCAACTCATCCTCGACACCCATCTACCTGTTCACGACTATTTTACTCTACGTTCTTGTCTCTCTCTCTCTTTCTCTTCCACTCTCTCTTGGCACGCATAACCCATCTTCTACGCATTCGGTGTCGCGTTCGTTAGGCGACATTGAGAAAAAATTATGATAATGACGATCGCGCCTGAGGGAATCGTTCCGCGTCGCGTTTCCTCGGGATCTACTTCTTCATCGCATTCTACTTTTACTTTTCTATCTCTGGCTAACTCTTGCGATAACTCTTTTTATTTTAAATTCTTCGAAAAAGTTGAAAAGAGAATTTTTAATGAAAAAATTTTTCTTACAAAATTAATATAAAAAGAAAAAGAACATTCGTGTCTTCCCCTCCCTCCCCTCTCTCCCTCTCTTCTTCTTCTTTCTCTCTCTCTCTCTCTCTCTCTCTCTCTCTCTCTCTCTCTCTGATCTTTTGTGAACCAGTAAATCCGTAGCAAAAATGTCTATTGAAAAATCCACAACTATTGGGCATCACGCTATTGTATCTTAACAAAGGTATTAAGATATCTCCCCCTTTTAGAATAGGAAATAGGATAACCAATTATATTCGTGAAATCTTTCTTCTACGCAAACAATTTTAATAATAATAATAAAATAGAAAAATAACCCCCCCAAAAAAATGATAAAAAAGAAAATAAAGAAAAACCGATCGAGAACGATGATCGTTCGTTCAACGTCGATATATGAGTTTATTATACATATATATTTATTTATTTATTTATTTATTTATTTCTTATACATAGTATAAGAGGGTGGGTGAGGATGAGGGTGTGTATATATTCAACATCGTTCTAACTGCTCACGGTTGGCCGTGAACAACCAATAACATCCGACGGTGTGGATGGTATCATCAGTCAATCCGCTGGCTCGGCATGTTTATTACCAGTGCACATTGCCGTCGCTTTCAAACAAATGCCTAGTACGAAACGCAAAGCCACTCACTCTACTACCGAACCCCGTCGTCCATTATTTCTGCCGTTCACTTTCGTCGCTTCGAGCAAACACATTCTCTATCTATATATCTCTATCTCTATCTCTTTCTCTTTCAACTCTTCTCAGTTCACCTTCCCGTTTGCTCACACAACCCTCCTTCCCCCGCAACCCCTTCTTCGTCATAAGAAACGTGCCAACGTATTAGCCGCGCTTAATTCGAACTTTCATGGATGATGATGATCATGCGCGAACGTGAAAGCAATTTTTAACGATTAAATATCTATTTTGATACTTTTAAATGAAAAAAATTTGAGTAGTCGTTTGTTCTTTTCTCATTCGTTATACCAAATGGAAAATAATTATGCGTTACGACATTAAACATAAATTTAGTAAAAGAAATTTCATTTAATTAGTTGATAGTTCGTGTCATTTATGGGTTATTTAAGTAATCCTCTTTCCAATATTATTTAATTAGCTAGAAACAAAATAGTACTGACAATGTGAGCTAGATAACCAATAAACGTGACGAACGAAGAACGGCAAACGAGAAAAGCAAATAACGCGTGGTTGCAAAATTGAACGTTTTGTGAACAAAGCTCGGGGAAAAGATTAATCGATTGAATTTTCTAAAATACCCAGAGATTTGATTTTATCGTGCTTTGAATATCAATCATACAAGAACTATATACCAATTGTGAATACTTTATATATATTATACATAGTACATAAGGGTGGGCGAGTATATTGTGAGTATATTGTGAATATCTTATACATATACATAAAATAATTGATAGAATAAAATGTTTGACTCGTTTGCTGGGACCCTAAAGAATCCACTTTATCGAGTAAAGTGTTACGCAGGAATTGTAAATACGGTATAAGGGTTTCTTTCCCTTCAAGTCCTCTTGGCAATTCAATCGAACAGAAAGAAATAAGATATCTGCAATTGTGCGTAGGTATATACAAAAGCCGATATGATTTTCTATGCATGAGAACAGAAACCGAATCTTACTCTGTTTTATTCCCTTTCAATTTTATCAAATCCAATAAAAATGACGGTAACGAAACGAATTTTATTGAACTAAAAAAAAAGAAATATTCTTATACACGAAAGATATCGTTTCAACGTTATTTTATTTTACAAATTATTTTCAATAAAATTTCCTATCGGAAAGAAAACGCGTAATCTTGTTGAAAAAGAAATTAAAAGAGCTATGAAAAAATAATATTTCCTTTGATACGCATATCATTTTTCCTTTCTTTTTTTTTTGCTTACGCAAGCACGTGCGTCCATCTAACCATCGTTCTAACGTTTGAAGTACTCGAATTTTGAGCATTAGTTCGCGAACCATTTGGCACAACTACTCTTTAGAAGAGCAGTTCAAATCACATCGCATATATTCTACATAGAACAGCTTAAACCGCAACGCTTATAGTGCTATAGTAGTAGTCTAGGTACAGTCATTGTACATTAAGCCCTACGAGTCTTCTCGTATCTTTCTACTAAGGAATATAAGGGCTTTTCTAATAATACATGCAAAACTAATTGTAAATTCGAATTAAAAGCTGGCCAGTACATCTTTACTTGTTATTTAATTGTCGAATATAAACCATCGATATATATTTAATTATCATTTTTAATAAATTTTTCTTTTTCATTGACGATACAAAAAATTGTACATAGAAAAGATATATTTAACAAAGAGAAAAATTGTTATTCCTTTAAAAATGTTCACTCTTACAATAAATTAATTATTACATACAGATATTATATTATACGCGGGAAATTGATTGCGATCTACGATCTGATAATACAAAAATAAGAATTTTTAAATGAAATTGCAATTGTACGCGGAACATTGTTATTAAAAGAAAAAAATAGAAAAAAAGGAGAAGTCAATTATTTATTAAAAAAAAAAAAAAAAAAACGTTTACTCACCGCACGCAAACGCGTGACGAAGTTCGATGATCGATGATACGATCGAGGAGATAATTATCTTGGAGCGATTATCTTGGAATACATAATTGTTGCTTCTCTCCTTTCAGCGAATAGTTGAGAATGAGCGATCGTACGAACGATTTCTTCAAGATTGGACACGCAACGTTCAGGAAGGCAGACGATGCGCGACTGTGCGCCGAGACCCTCGCGATCTCCCTTTTATGGTCCTCCCTCGACGCTACTCTTCTACTCGCACGCCGACTCTGACTACTTGTCTCTCTACTCTTGCAACACAATGAATCCTGACTGCTCTGCGTGAATCCAACCGTTATAATGTTACCGATCTTTCGTATTCGTCCGCATTTCCCGCCGTTTTAACGCGCGCATGCAATTTTTTTAAAATTATCTACGAGGAGGGTGTAAATATAAAAAGAAATAATAATATCCTTTGTAATAATTAGTTCATTATAATCGTAAATAATTAAAATCGTATCACAAATTATTATAAAAGTTGTATAATGTAATTACATAATTTACTTAAATATTAATATTAATTTGTGTCACTATGGTAATTTTCTCTTCATGGGTTCCTCGTGCACTCGCACTTGAAGAGTAGAACGTGGTCCGCACTTCCAAACGTTGCCATCTTTGTCTAATATACTTGCACTTGCTGTTACTTGATATTGACCACCACCGAGTTGCGAATTGCCGGTATTGGTTGAGGTACCTGCACCTCCTACAGTCGAAACTGGTACACTTCCGAGAGATAGTAAAAATTCACAAGCGAAAAAGTCGCGATGAGGTGTTACCGTTTGATGCAGCTCGTTCATGTTAGTATCCTGTGTATAAAAATGAATATAATTTATAACAGGAATTACTTTTTCTTTTTATATAAAATATGTTTCTTTTATTTACTTTTTGATCCGAATTGATTTTGGAAGGAGGCGTAGTGGATATAGAAATGCACACAGCTGAGACTGAACGATATAAAGATGCGCGTTTACCATGTCGCAGCACACCCTCGACCTTTAATGCTAATTGACTACCCTGGGGTACGGAAACTGGTTCTCCCAGTACTCGAGGTTGTGGTGACACCGAAAGTTTGACGCTTGTAGCTTGTAAAGCTTGGAAGAAGTAACGTGGAATAGGTAGTCTCATATTTCCAGCACCAAGTAACATAACTTGCGATATTATACAGCCAACCCTTACGTGACTAATACCACCTGCTTTTCCTTCACCCACCCATGGTGGTGAAAGACGACGCAACTCTGTACAATAACGAGCCAATTGACGCATTTCTACCGTTCCGCCGAAATCAAAATTCACTTCGTTTTGTTGATACATGCATATGGTTGATCCACCGCAAATTCGTTCCACACTATTTCCCATTAAACAACACATTTCTTGCAAACTGTAGAAGTATGTGTTAGAGAAAAATATTATTTAGGAAGTTGAAGATTCTATTAATATATTTATATTTAAAGGATACGCTCTAATATTTGCTAAGGAACCAGGATCTGCATCGAAAGCGGATTGATACAATTTCTGATAATTTTCAGCACATATCTTCAACTCTTGGACTGATTTTCTTAGCTGTACAATGTTCAAGTTAAATTGATTACATTTATCTATTAAATATCGCACATTTTGTATATTATTTTTGTTTAAAATTGTATATACCTGTAAAGTTACACGCCCGTACCTTTGAAGATCATCTTTTGTTGCTAGAACTACTGTGCATGCGATAGCAGGTGGCGGTGCAGTACATAAAGATCTAAAAGAAAATAATACGAGTTATTAGTAAACGACTATAATTTATTAAGAAATATAATTTACCTGCAAGAATGTAAGAGTTGTACCGCAGCTTGTAAAAATTCGCAACGCAATTTTGCATATTCACTGGCAAATTGTAGACTACGTAAAGGTGTACTAGCAGCTTTCAATGATGCACAAGCACTTGCGTAGTGTGCGATAGAAGCATTTAATTTTTCAACAATGTCCACTTTCTTTGAAGTATCCATTGCGTCAATATTATCCCTTTATAATTTAAATATATAATAAAAAATTATAATTCATTATATATTCAGTATATACCCACTGTTATTAAAATATTACTTACATAAGAAAACTTTCTGCTTTAGTAACTAATTCCAATCCTGATAACCAAAAGTGAAGTTGTTCGGATGCAACAGCTTCCTTTAAACTCTTGAATATTTGCGTTGCAACTATATGATGACCATATCTAGCAGCACCTCTTGCAATTCGATATTTAGACCAACCATCGACACTTTTTACTGTATCTTCTATAGCTTTCAAACATTCGGAATTCCATTCGTATCCACCTGCTATCATTTGGAAAAGCAATGTGCACAACATTACCTATAAGAACAAGCAAACAGAATAAGGAACGATAAGGTAATAATTATTAGCAAAAAATACAAACCTTTGTATGCATATGTAAAGTTTGTTTAAGCTTTATTAATACATCAGGCAAAAGTGGTAGTAATATATTTTCTCCTAAACTTCCAATTGCTCCTAAAGCTTCGCATAATGCGACTGCTTGTTTCTCGCTTTGTCCATTTTCTGCGCTAGTGCTAATAAGCGTAGATCCAATAGCATCAACAAAAACAGGACAATGACTAGGTTGTGCATGGCACAGTTTTACCGTTGAACGTAGACAAGCTTTAAGTTGATGTAAATGTTTGTCATCTAAGGCTAATAAAATAATCAATGACTCCAAACAGGATACAAGATCTTGAGTGGCAAATGTTGGTAATCCCTCCTCATAGCTATTGATCAAAATAATTTATGTAATTTCACTACCCTATAATTAAACTTCAAATTATAATACTTTTTATTTTCATACCAATAACATACAACTCTTGATAATATAGTTACAGCTTTGACAGCAACGAAAGGATCTGGAGAATAACAAGCATTTACGCAGAGGGATAAAAGTGGGCTACCTTCGTCCATATTAGCATCGCACGTAATAGCACTTTGACTTAATACCTATATTGAAACATTATTTTCATTATTATTTGCATATACAAAAATTGAATAATAATTATATAGAAAACAGTATTTTACCTCTATTACATCTAACGTGCGAACTAAAAGATCTGTATTTCCAGTACCATCTTGTAATAATTTTGTAGTACTTTCTAAAAATATAAATATATTACAAAATTAAATAGAAAGTAATAACGTATATTAATAAGTAGAAAATGGCAATACTAACCAATCAAATTATTAAGAGCACCTAACGGCCATAAATGTGCACCACGTCTTGCAAGAGTATGAAGTAAATGTAAAGCATGGCGTTTAATAGATAACCGAGGGTCGTCATGAAGATATCGTAAAAGCAATACAACTTGTTCTGGAATATCTATTAATGTAGCAGAAGCTAAAGTGCTCAGCGCGCTCAGTGTTACTCTCACAAATTCCACCGCAGGATAACTGGCAAGAAGTTCCATACATAATTCATTTACCTTTAACGAATACACAGTTCAATTAATGATCTACATATTGCATTTATGTAATAAATAAACTTTAAATATTTTTAATACCATTGATGCAGTGAATGTGTCATGGTGCATATATTGGAGAATAGGTATAAGCTGTAATTTCATAGAAGCTGGCGTTGCTTGACCTCTGATCATGTCCGAAATTTTGCTACACATTGATACAGCAAATAATTTGGATTGTGCTGCAAACATTTGAGCAGCATATATAGCAGCTTCTACTTCGACTGAGTCATGAGAATCCAAAGATCTTCTTATACTATGATGAACCTTTAAATAAATATCATAATTATTTAATAAAAAGAATTAGATATGAAGAAATAACTTATATCAGAAATATTACCTGTTGTCTTTCAGGTATTATTCCTGCTACACTACCTAAAGTACGTAAGGTAAGAGCTCTAGCTACTGGATCATTGGAATGAATAACGCTATAGATACGTCTAACAAATTCATCAACATTTAATATTTTATCCAAATGTTTTTCACTTTGCTGACATACTCTAAGAACCCAAACTCTTAGAAAATTACTACCCATACGAAATACTTCTGCCAATTTCAGCAAAGATGAATTTATCAGTATTGGAAATGGATATTTTTCAAATAACCGAGGAAAACGGACTATTGCTTCGCATTGTTCACCTATTTTATTAGACCGCAAGCCTGAAAATAAAATTTATTTTTTACTTAATTTTATATATATATATCTAACACTATAAATAAAAATTAAGTTCAACAAGTTGGTTTATACAAAAGGGTTTAAATTGATAAACATTTTTTAAGGTTAGAAATGTACATATACAAACCTTTATCTAATTCAATAAGGGCACTATTAGCATCTTGTTCGGGTTCTCCGAGTCCAGAATCATTAAAAGCATTCATTCTCATTCCTATCATATTCACTAAATATAAAAACAAATATATTATAGAATAATTTAGTTAAACCGGCTTCCTGACTACTTATGCTATGCTATTCCATATGTTTACTACTGTATTATATAGTAAATAGTCATATATATATATATAAAAGAAGTCGTATTCATATATATATCTTATATATAATATATATATATATATATATATATATATATATATATATATATTAGCTTTATAGCTATATTAGCTTTGTATATGTACGTACTTACTTTTTATCAAATTTTTATCACAACATATATTTCTAAAACATCAATACTTTAAAATAAAACTTGTATATCAATTATAAGTTAACATGATACATTACTTATAACCTATATTTTAATTGAATAAGATTAATAAAGTTTCATTTATAAAAAATATCATTCAAATCTCTTTAAATAACTTTTATACACGACACCCATACATGTATGAGAAGGTATATACGTATAGATTTTTGTATTCGTGTGTGATTAGTGTGCTGTCGCGAATAATATAAAAAATGGTAGGAATATTTAAATAGAAGCTAAAAATCATTTATAAAAAATAGAAATATATATAAATTATTTTATTTTTTTATAAATAAAATAAATGTAAATAAAATAATTATAAAATAAAATGTCCATTGGTTACAGTTGTCGTATATCGAGAGTTCATATCGCAAACAGATCAGCGCAATGTTCAGGTCATTGCAATAGTCGACAACCAACTTCGGCGAATTCAGTGTACAGAATCAACTGTTTGTTTAAATAGAAGTTTCATTTTCACGATCGATTTAAAAAACAAATTTCAATAGCGTGGGTGTTGACGTACTGTGCTAAAATAAAATGGTCGATTACAGCAAATGGAAGGATATTGAGGTAAGAAGTTATTAATCCTTTTTTTCCTATATGCATGTAGAAAATTCTAGAAAGATAAAAGTTATTTTATTATAAAATATATTATCAGATACTTTACTTTGATAGCGAATGTTAATATTTCGTTCTTTTATTTTTGTAAATCGTTCATAAATCATTTCTTTTTTATTAGTTCATTTTATTTTTAATATGCAAATTTATGTGTTGGTTTTATATTTTTTTATTTTTGTTATTAGTTAACAAATATTTCAATGATAATGCAACAATCCATTAAAGCTGTTTAAATTATTGTGTGTTATTTTACTGTTTGACTAACTTAACATATTTAGTAATTAACTTTATAGAATACTTTTAATTAATACAGAAATATTTAATACTTAGATTTCAGACGACGAAGATGATACTCATCCTAACATTGATACACCGTCCTTGTTTAGATGGCGTCATCAAGCAAGAGTGGAACGTATGGAAGAAAGAAAACGGGAACAGGAGGAACATGAAAGGAAAAAGATTGAGTATGTGAATAAAAACATGTACACTTTGTATTCTTAGATGTATAAAGCTAGCTATAATCCTAATATTAATGATACTATTAACATTGTAAAAATATTTCAAACGCTAATTATATTAACATTTTAGACATATGAAAAAACTTAAAGAAACTAAAGAAAAACTTGCAAGACTAGAAAACGAGCAAAAGGATTCAGCAGATTTAAGTGCATTGAAAAAAGTTTTGCAAGATCTCGAAGAAGAAGAGAAAAAAATAAAAGCAAGAGAAGATGAAATGAAAAAAAAGGAAAAGTTGACACCATGGAATGTTGATACGATTGGTCAAGATGGCTTTACCAAAACTGTAATAAACACAAAACCAGCTCGGAATGATGATGATTCCACTCTCTCAGATGAAGAGAAGGAAAAAAGAATGAAACAATTTGTAAAGAAAAATGAGAAACAGTTGAAAGAATTTGGTATGCTTAGAAGATATGACGATAGTAAGAAATTCTTATTGGAACATCCTCAAATAGTTTGTGAGAATACAGCTAATTATTTAGTTATTTGGTGCATTAATTTAGAAATGGAAGAGGTAAGTGAATTATATTACATAATTCTTTGAAAATAGTTGTTCTAAATGACATCATTTTTATGTAATTACAGAAACATGACTTAATGGAACACGTTGCTCATCAATGTATATGCATGCAGTATATATTAGAACTATCTAAGCAATTAAATGTTGATCCTAGAGCTTGCGTTAGTTCATTCTTCAGTCGTATACAAATTGCTGAAGTAGAATATAAGAATTCGTTTGACGAAGAACTTAGAGCATTTAAAGATAGAATACGCAAACGTGCTGCAGAGAAGGTTGCAGATGCACTTAGAGAAGCAGAAGAAGAAGAAAGAAAAGAGAGACTTGGCCCTGGAGGTCTTGATCCTGTTGAAGTTTTTGAAAGTCTTCCAAAGGTATAAGAAAAATAAAAATCCATTATTTTTATATAAAATACAAAATTAATGTATATTTAACAAATTTAATTAAATAATATTGTTTCTTGTAGCCTTTACAACAGTGTTTTGAAGCGCAAGACATACCGTTATTGCAACAAACAATAGCCGCCATGCCTGAAGATGAAGCTAGATATCACATGAAGCGTTGTATCGATAGCGGTCTCTGGGTTCCAGATGCTAAAGCTAAAGAAAAAGAAGAGCAAGAGCAAAATGGAAAAGAAGAAATTACGGGTACACCTGATCCGGAATAACACTTTTTTTTCAACTAAGCTCTGCTTTTGCATCCATTTATTTTCTTTTTCTCTTTGTTAAGATACTACTTGACTTAAGTCATATTTTATAAATTCACTATAGATATTAATTAATTGATTAATTAATTAATTAATTAAAAAATAAATTTATTCGCAAGAAATATAACAACAAAAATAAAAGGATAATTTCATCCTTTGTATGATTTATCTAAAAAGAAATTATAATAATCATTATCGTAGAACAAGCTGTAAAGTTCATCTAATTGTTACTGGAGACTGAAGATTATTTTTGTTATACTTAGCATATTTTGTTTTTTCTTTTATTGGAATTCTTTTAGCTAATAACACAAAGCAGTGAAAGTAAAAACGATAATTATTCCAATTATATTCAATACAACAATACTTTCCTTTCGTCTAATATTCGTAATTGTACTTTGAATGTAATTCGTAAAAAAGAAAAAGAAAAAAAACAGTATTGAAAAAAGCATTCTAAATGTATATACTAAGCTTAAAACGTATAGAATATGTGTTACATATATTCTTTACGCTGTAACGTATCTCATTATTTCACATTTGATGATTTTATGTAATATGTACATTACACAATGTATGTTGATTTGCATATTATTAATAATGTAAATAAAAATCTTTATCGACCAACATCTTTAATCTCAATCACCTAAAAAAAATGAAACTGTTAAAATAGAATTTATGGTTACACATATACATTACATGTATTTCAAATTTAGTAAAGTAAAGTAGTATTCTATTTCTACTACTACTCTTAACAGTTAGTTCATGATCTGATCGATTTCTACGTTTTAACGAAAGTTCAAATATGAGATGCAGAGTGTAGAGTTTCGTTTATTCGGGAGAAAGGCGGCGTTACTGTCGACTGGAAATGACGAAGCATCGTGTCTCGAATTCTCGGCCAGGCCTTCCTTTTCCGGTGCGATGTGCCACGGGTCTTTGGGTAATATTTTTCGTCTTTCATTCTTGTCATTATACGTTAGTTCCATATACTACGAAAGACGCAGGCTGATTTTCATTGGAACGGGTAACACTTAGCAACATTAGAATTATATTATTTTCATTTATTTTATTTTATTTTTTATCTTAGATGATAAACAAATTATCATTGGGATATTTGACCTGCCTTTCTTTAACGTAAATTACCCAATCTGATGAAAAACGGCAGCTAAATATACCTATATATTTTATTTCTTGTTAACCGTTCTATTCATCAATGTCATTTCGAAGAAAGAAGCCATTTTACAAACATTTTCTCTCTCTCTCTCTCTTTCTCTTACTCACACATGTGCATAAATTTTGCATGGTGTCAAATCGACCTTTCGTATCAACTGTCTAACATTCATACAAAGTTTATTATTATTACTCGTTAATTATGGTCGTTACCATCTTCCCAGTGCCTATTGGTTCATTCATTGTGTGACCTAGAGAATATTATAAGTTCCCTGAGCTTGTTTTTTGATCAAACTCGAAACATATTGTGTGCCATCATGTTGAATTATTGGAATAGCATAACGTAAGAATCTTTCTATCTTTTAAACGCATCTAATTGTGAAAATCCAATAATTGTTCGATTGGAAAGATCGTTGCCAACGGTACAAAATGAAATTTAACGTAGTATTTGTCTTTTATAGTTACGTTTTACGAATTTCTAGTTCTTTTTTGATGTAAAAGAAATATTTCGTCGAAACAATTTTTTTTGTCTTTTTCAATTTTCAAATATCAAAAATAAGTTATTTAAAGATCATGTCTCAAAAAAAAGAACAAAAAAAATAAAAAAGTATCTCGTTCTAACGGTGTAAAAATATGCATGTAGTACGTGACCACATCGTATAAGATTTTATGTTAATTGCGCATTTGACTGGATAATATCGAAAAACCGACGCGCCGTGCATTCTGGGTAAAATTTCCGTGAGTAATAAAAATGGCTGTCTTAACAATGATTTCCGTTTTGTAATGTACTTAAAAACGTATAGTATATACGTAGTTAATATGAGAAGAAAATTGAAAGATTTGGATTAGAAAAATAATATTATATAAAGGACAGGATAAATTTTAGTTAATTTTTATAGTAAAAATATCTTTTTTGATTTGTCTAATTTATTTGGGAGGATAAAGAAGTGTGAAGAAAGTTTGAGGGCGCTGTAGTCGAAAGGCCAAACGTTGCATGCTGGGACGATAGGTAGGGGGAGGGCGAAAGAACGAGTCCGAATCTCACAAAATGGAGACGAAACTGAGGTCTGCGAACATATAGTACGATAAAATTCAATAAGTTTGCACAATGTCGCAACGTTGTACATCATTAGTCGATTAATATTGCGAACACGTGTGCGCGAATTAGTTTATTTTTCTTAAATTAACGTGAGATTGTGCGTGGTGCTTCATTTATTCGAGATTCGATGCGACGCGTAGACGATACGATGCAGGTGAGTGGACGGGATTCGAAAATTCTTCGATTTTCTTCATTAATTTGGATTTTTCATCAATAATTATTTATTTTCCGCGCTTAAATTAAATTGGCCGTAATATTGATAAAATAATTAACGATATACGACCACGATGTTGTTTGGAATAAGGGAGAAAATAATTCATGTTTGCAACGCAGCTTTACAACTCTTGTCATCGATTTAAAAGGTTTATAAAAATATAAAAAATTATTTATTATTAACTATTGATATTTTTTCACGTAGGGCGGGGTCCAATGGACCTCGGGAGCTCAGGGACTTGGTTCTTCATAGTCACACTTTTCCATAACTTTACATAGTTTTCCAGCCTCTTAATAACCTATAAGTTTGTTTACATTGATTCAAGTTTATATTTATCACTTAAAATATCCGTGTTCCACCCTAATTTTCGTTAAAAATTATTCCTTGTATTATCTTTCAACCAGATACCATGGTTATTTCAAAATTTAAAATAGACCCTTTTTTGCAAATTAAGCTCAAAGATCTTCATGTGTGCTTTATCTATAATGCCCACTGTTACCTGTCAGTGTGACTGGTATAATGTACACTAATGTCTTTCATTTCATCATGGAAATATCGAAAATATTCATGCATTTTATCATCTTATTAAGTTTTAAATTCATTTTTCAATTATTAGAAAGTTTAATAATGCACATCATATCCATTTTAACAATTTTTGGTAATGAAAATCAACTTCTGAAGGTATGTTTTTTTTATGTAAAAGGTAGTCTTTCAATGATACTTTTCCTTTTTCATTTAACAGACTAATTAAAGAAAACAATGTGTGCAAATAAACTATACGTATCATCTTTTGAATGAAAAAGAACAATTCTTTTATAATCTATTCGACGAAGCATAAAAATATACATCCAAAGTAAAATTACAATTGTGTTTATTATACCGATTATCATATTCAAATGATTATAGAAAACATATATATGGTAAACACATTGAATTAAACATTTTCATTAAATATTTACAAATTTATAAGCTATAGAAAAAAATACTATTATTAATTTTAACAACGTGACAAAATTTTTAATGATAAATTATGAAAGAAATGAAAGTAGCGAACAATAATTTTTGATATAAAATATTCGTTTTATATCAAAATAAGGTTATCATGTTTGCTAAACTCAGGATATTTTACTTGCACTAGAAAAGTAGCTTTCAATTGACATTATTATTGTATTTGATTAGATGATCTATCAAGATAAAGAGTTCAAGAATCATTTTTTAATTATGTTATGGTGTTTTTATTATACATATATGTAATAATGCAAAATCATGTTTGATTAATATTATTACATTCTGTGTATATACCAATATTAAACAAAGACTTTTTATAAAGAACACTTGTAAAATGGCACTAAAAAGTTTTATTATGAAATATGATATATAATTTTATTTTATTTTACAATGCTTAAACTGAATTTGTAAAGGAGTTAGCATTATCTGTGAAAAGAATTAAATAACTATTACATAATATTAATTTGATTATCATACTAGTGATCCTTCACACAAGAAACAGTATATTTAAATTTACACACAAGTACTGCATTATTAGCAATTTTAACTTCCTCTCATCAAATATATCTATAGATACGCAGACATATTTTAATCTTAAAATTCAGGGTAAACTAAGTTTTTGATGTATTTCCTGAATAATTTAATAAAAATGTTCCAGTATTATAATAATGAAGTATATTATTTTTTATGGAACCCATGTACCTTATAATATAGTATAGAAAAAAGTTTAGATAAAGTTAATATAAACTATAGAATTAAATATTTTTAAGTAAAGTGATTGAATGTTGGGGTAGTTAAGAAAAATGCTTATTTATATCTTAAAATAACTATCTCGATAAATTAGGTTAAAAGAACTTTAACCTTTATCATTATCTTTGTTTTTCCATAGCGTGTAATACCTATGTTTCATTTGTCAGTCATCTGACTAACTATACAAATAAAAATTTTTGGATTTCTGTGTTTAATTTTCTGTTCTCAAAATGGTGGACATATTCCATAAAATGGAAGACAATTTGTCTTTCATATAGATGGCAGTAGGATGATATAATAGATTTATGAAGAGAAAAGAGTTATATTTTAATTTTATAGATGTACTTTATGAGATGTATTTAACATTGATAAGAATAAAATATATATGAACATATTATAATTTTATTCCAAACAACATTGGGGATTAAATCGTACAGATTTGAAAACAAATAGTATTAGATATTATTATATTACAGAAAACGTTTGACTCTGAATCCGGTAAGGAATCTGGCTCAGATTCTGAAAATGAAAGTAAAAGCGATAGTTCCTCTTCTGGAAGCAACTCAGCATCTGGCTCTGGCTCAGATAGGTGTGTATTATATTCTTATATGTATTCCCTGTTAAATTGGAAAGTCTAGTACGACATTAATTTTATTTACAATAATATAATTAAATCATAGACAATATATGAGAATCACTTAAAGTTCCTTCAATACAAAAGAAAGAATTCAATAATTAATTTGATTTTTATTCAAAAATTTGAAAAATTTATGTTTTTACAAATGTAATGTAATGTGTACTTTGACTATCTGATATATACAGGATAGATAATATGCTATTCAGTTAATTGTGTATTGCTATAGCTTGATATAGCACTAACATTTGCCTTCATGGTATTGCTAACTATGTGTATTCCATTGAGTTTTTGTGATCATATTTTTTATTTTTCCTTTAATTTTTTTTTTAAATGTTTATTCTTAATTGTATTTACGTCATATTAGGTCGTCATTATCTTTCATAAAAATCTTTGTTATATTGAGGCATTAGCAATATATCTCCAGTAAAAATGAAAGCAAATCAATTGATTTTATATAATGACTTGAAATACATCTATAATTAGAACATTAATACTATTTTGATAGTTATCTTAATACGTGAAATTTATTTTAATGAGATTTTAATGAGAAATATTTTTTTAATATACATACATTTGGACATAGTATTTTTCTTAATGATAGATATATTTCAAGATATAAAACAATAATCATTGGCAAAGTAGTGACATAAAAAATTGCTTGGCTGCTCATTCAGTGACTCTAGCTCCTCGAGTGGTTCCGGTTCAGGATCAGGTTCAGATTCTGAAAAATCAGAGCAATTGGATGCACCTGCACAGAGTGATAGTTTACAAAGCAAATCTTCTAATCACAGCACAGAAACAAAACTTAGGCTTAAAAATGAGTCTAGTCGTGAATGGGACGAGAATCCTGATATTTATGGCATTAGGAGATCTGGACGTTCTAGAAAAGAGCCAGAGAGGCTTGCAACCCAACGCGAAAGCGACAGTGAAGGTCGCAAGAGATATAAGAAAAAGAGGTAAGTAGAGACAACGATGGAAACCATTTTGATTGATATCGAACTCTATTTAAGGGATTTATAAAATAATTTATATATATAAATATAAAAAAAAAACAGAATTTATTTAATAACTTCAATTATATAAATTTATAGATGCACATATATATATATAGTGTTATTATCCTGTGCTTGTTTTTCTTTGTGCTTCTTGGCATTGAATACTCACATCATGTCATGTAGATCATTGTATACTATGTGGCAATCATATACATGAGTGTGTCAATTCTAACACTAAAGTTATCTATATTTTTTAAATTTATTTATTTATTTATTTTTAAATTGTTGATGCTTTAAATCTGTTTTTTACACCTTAATTTTATAATTATTTTATATTTGATTTAATCACTAATGTATTTATAAATCATGGTAATTTCAAACAAAATATATAGATTTGGACTATTTTGCAATGTATAATCATCAGCAAGCTTTACTTTATATATAAAATGGTAAACTTTACAAAAGAAAAATAATTAAGTCGATTTCTTATTACTTATATCTTATTACTGTATAGTAAATACTGTATATATCTTATTACTGTAATAGTAAAAAAAATTATTTATTTAACATAAATTTATTATACATACATAAATATATATATATATTTTTTAATATCAATTCGCGTAATTCAGTACGGTTCACGTGACGGTTTTTTTTTTAACATGAAGCAATAATAAAAATATTTAGAAAACTTTTCTGATAATTAATAGTTATTTACCCATTTTAGCTCACACAATGCATGGAATTCTGAAAGCTCAGAATCAGAATCTGATGAAGCTGAAAATAGACGACCACCACCAGCTAGCAAATCTTTAAACAGGCGTGCAGCACAAAAAGCCAAAGAAAAAGCTAGAACACGTAAAAAGAGAATTTCTGAATCTTCTGATAATTCATCATTTGACAGCGATGATAACAGAAGGTACTATATTTATATACTCATATGTATTATTAATTATTGTGTACATTATTAAACATGTGAATAATATTAAATATTTAAAAATATAGGCAAGTTACGAGAAGAACAGGTACTGCTGTTAGCTATAAAGAAGAGAGCGAAGAAGGTACTGATAGCGAAGACTTGGTGGAAGTCGATGAAGTGGCACCTACTAATGCGGAACCTGATAATGCGGAAACGGTTGAAAGAATTTTAGGACAAAGAATAGGGAAAAAGGGTGGTAAGCTTCATTTAAAATTAATTATAACACATATAGAAATTAGTATTTAATAATATTCTTTTTCTAACATTTTTTTAATAGTTACAGGAAATGTAACCACAATTTATGCAGTAGAAGAAAATGGTGATCCTAATCCGAAGAATTTAAGCTCAGAAGAAACTGAAAAACAATACTTAATTAAATGGAAAGGGTGGTCGCATATACATAATACGTGGGAATCTGAAGATTCTTTAAAAGCACAAAAGGTATATTTAACTTTTATTTATTGAATAACTATGTAAAGCGTATTTAATGATTTCATTTCATTTTCTGTCATTATATAACACATAGAACACATTTTTCTAATATTGATATTGATTTTAGGTTAAAGGGTTAAAGAAATTAGATAATTTTATTAAACGCGAACGAGATATAAAACAATGGAGAGATCAAGCTGGACCCGAGGATATCGACTATTTTGAGTGTCAGTGGGAATTACAACAAGAACTTTTGAAAAGCTATAACAATGTGGAAAGAATTATTGGTAAGTTATAAAATTAGTATACCTATGAATGTTTTATTTAATTATCTATGCGCAAAATTGCAATTATTTATATTTGTATCGTAGCTGAATACAACAAGCCAGATTCAGGACATCCTGATTATTATTGTAAATGGGAAAGTTTACCGTATGCCGATTCTACGTGGGAAGATGGTGCATTGATAATTAAAAAATGGCCCGAGAAAATCAAGGAGTTTCGTGATAGAGAAGATTCTAAAAGAACACCAAGTAAGCACTGTAAAGTGCTTAAAGCTAGACCTAAATTTCATCAATTGAAAAACCAACCCGAATATATGGGAAAAGGAAAAGATTTAGTCCTAAGGGATTACCAAATGGATGGGCTAAATTGGATGATTCATTCTTGGTGTAAAGAGAACAGTGTCATTTTAGCTGATGAAATGGGTCTCGGAAAAACAATACAAACCATATGCTTCCTTTATTATCTTTTCCATACACATCAACTTCACGGACCGTTTTTATTAGTAGTACCTCTTTCAACAATGACTTCCTGGCAAAGAGAAATGGCCCAATGGGCACCTGATATGAATTTTGTTACTTATTTGGGTGATGTAACATCTCGAAATGTAATACGAGACCACGAGTGGTGTTACAGTTCTAAAAGATTAAAATTTAATGCAATACTTACAACCTACGAGATAGTACTTAAAGATAAAACATTTTTGGGTGCCTTAAATTGGGCAGTGCTTTTAGTCGACGAAGCTCATAGATTAAAAAACGATGATTCTCTCCTTTATAAAGCTTTGTCCGAATTTCATACCAATCATCGTCTTTTAATAACCGGCACTCCACTACAAAACAGTTTGAAGGAATTGTGGGCTTTGCTTCACTTTATAATGCCTGACAAATTTGATTCTTGGGAAGAATTTGAACAGGAACACGATAATGCTGCCCAAAAAGGTTATTCTAAGTTACATAAACAATTAGAACCTTTTATTTTAAGACGTGTTAAAAAAGATGTAGAGAAGTCCTTGCCAGCTAAAGTCGAACAGATTTTACGCGTTGAAATGACGTCCTTGCAAAAACAATATTACAAGTGGATATTGACCAAAAATTACAATGCTTTGCGCAAAGGTGTTAAAGGCTCGACTATGACATTTCTTAACATAGTAATAGAATTGAAGAAATGTTGCAATCATGCTTTTCTAACTAAACCGACTGAAAGTGAAAGAAAAGATAGCAATGAAGATTATCTACAGCAATTGATTAGAGGTTCAGGAAAATTGGTACTTTTGGATAAACTTTTAGTCAGACTTCGTGAAACCGGACATAGAGTATTAATATTTAGTCAAATGGTTAGAATGTTGGATATTTTGGGAGAATATCTACAAAAACGACATTTCCCATTTCAACGATTGGATGGAAGTATAAAAGGTGAATTGAGAAAGCAAGCCTTAGATCATTTTAATGCCGAAGGTTCTCAAGATTTTTGTTTTTTACTATCAACGAGAGCCGGTGGACTTGGAATTAATCTTGCCACTGCTGACACAGTAATTATTTTTGACTCGGATTGGAATCCACAAAATGATTTACAAGCTCAAGCTAGAGCTCATAGAATCGGACAGAAAAATCAAGTTAACATATACAGATTAGTGACCAAAAATTCTGTTGAAGAAGAAATAGTTGAACGAGCGAAACAAAAAATGGTTCTTGACCATTTGGTTATCCAAAGGATGGATACAACCGGAAGAACAGTTTTGGATAAAAAGAATGCAGGGACCAATAATAATCCATTTAATAAAGAAGACTTAAATGCCATTTTAAAATTCGGTGCGGAAGAATTATTTAAAGATGAAGAAGACGGCGATGAAGAACCTACATGTGATATCGATGAAATTTTAAGAAGAGCTGAAACCAGGGATGAAGGACCTGCTACTGTAGGAGATGAATTGTTGTCTGCATTTAAAGTAGCAAGTTTTGCCGCATTCGAAGAAGAATCAGAACCTGTCAGCCAACCTAACGATAACGACGATGAAAGTAAAGACTGGGCTGAGATAATACCCGAAAACTTCCGTAAAAAGGTTGAGGAAGAAGAAAAATCTAAAGAAATGGAAGATCTTTACCTTCCACCCAGAAGTCGTAAGACTCTTCAACAAATTAATCAAACTGGAGACGGAAGAGGTAGAAAAAGAAAAAAGACACCAGATGACAGCGAGGAGGAACAAGAATCTGGCAGCGAAGTTGAAGGTAGCGACGACGAGAGACCTAAAAAGAGAGGAAGACCACGAGTAACACCACGTGAAAATATAAAGAGTTTTACAGATGCGGAAATTCGAAAATTCGTGAAAAGTTATAAGAAATTTACAGCACCTTTGAAAAGATTAGACGACATTGCTGCAGATGCTGAATTACAAGAAAAACCAATGTCAGAGTTACGTTATTTGGGTGAACAATTGCAATCTCGTTGTGAGGCTTGTTTATCTGAATTTGAAAGTACTGCCAAAGAAAATAAAGGTGAGGAGGAGGGTAAAGGACCTGGTCGTAAAAGAGGAAGAGGTCCTACGTTCAAAATGGGTGGCGTTATGGTCAATGCTAAATCATTTTCTGCTGCTGTCAAAGAATTGGAACCTTTAGATCAAGCACTTCCCTCAGATGCCGAACAAAGAGCTAATTGGCATCTTGATATTAAAGTTAAGCCAGCTAACTTTGACTGCGATTGGACCATCGAAGATGATTCTAGGCTTTTGAGAGGCATATACCAACATGGTATGGGCTCTTGGGAAGCTATCAAAACCGATGCTAGTTTAAAACTTACTGATAAAATTCTTCCTAATTGTAGTAAGGTTCAGTTCAAACGAGTGACAGCTCGTGCTGAATACTTATTAAAAGTTCTTAAAAAGCAAATGGATTTCAAGCATGGCGTGGTAAGTTGTTCTGGTTTTATTTTTTAATATTTTAATTCTATTTTTTCCCCTATTCTCTTTTTTCCCCTTTTTTCGGATTTCTAAATCCTTTCTCTTCTCTCTCAAACAAATTGCTTAATATTAAAAAAACGTATTATTCTTTTCTTATATTACTATTTATTTATTTTTATTTCCTCATCAAATTTTAAATTATTTTAAATGTATAGACAAAATTTTGTTCAGTATACACGTTCGATCTCCGTTTCAGACACGAACAAGGAAACCTAGAAAACCAAAAGAAGTTAAAACCGCAATTACAAAAGAAATTATTGAAGAAAATGATAGTTCAGGAGAAGAAAAAAAACTTAAGACAAAAATCGATAAAGTAAGTTTAATTATTAAAAAATAGTATGGATAGAATAAATATCGAGAGAGAAAGAGAGAGAGAAAGAGAGGCGAAGAAAGAGAGAGAAAGATGATAGGTAGTAAAATTCATTAAACTGACTTATTAAATTTTGTAATTTGATTTTACAGGCCCTAATAAAGAAAGAGGAAGATGTCATCGTGAAAAAAGAAATTAAAGAAGAATCCGAAGAAGTATCAGAAGAAAAAAAGAAAGAAAAGAAAGTTAAGAAAGATAAAAAGGAAAATAAAAAGGCTAAAAAAAGTAAACAAACTGCAGGACCTATGCATTTCACTGCTAACAACGAGCCACGAGCTCTTGACGTTCTTGGTGATTTAGATCCATCTATCTTTAATGAGGTAAATGTTTTTTTATGCTTATATTTGTACCCTTAAAATTATATGTAGAAATTTGAATTAATTTTAGAAAGCTTTGAAAAAATTATTAAATTTAAACGTAATATTAAATATTTTATATTTTTCATTAGTGTAAAGAAAAGATGCGTCCAGTGAAAAAAGCTTTAAAAGCTTTGGACAAACCAGACGAATCGTTGAGCGCGGAAGATCAAGTTACTCACACACGCCAATGTTTAGTTCAAATTGGAAATCAAATAAATACTTGTTTGGCAGAATATAGAGAACCAGTGCAAATAAAAGAATGGCGAAGCAATTTATGGTATTTTGTATCAAAGTTTACAGAATTTGATGCTAAAAAGCTCTATAAATTATATAAACATGCAACAAGGAAGAGTAATGGGGATAACAATGTGAATGTGAGTTCTAGTCCTGACAAAAAGGAAGAGGCAAATAATTCTAAGGTATCAATTTTTTTATCTTTTTATATATTAGCTGTGTATCTTATAAGACTTTCTATATGTTTAGAATGAATGTATATGCTGTGTTTAATACAAAATATTATTTGCCCAAACAGAAACACGAAAAATCTTACGACAAGCACAATGATAAACAACTAATGGATTCAAGTAACAAAGAATCACGACAATTAAAGCGTAGAATTGATGATGTGGAAGACAGTTCTAATAGCAGTATGCCAAGTAAGAAAACTGTTAACACAGCTATTAATGCTGTGAGTAATATCAGTAACACTTCGGCTGTTACTATCGGTACTATTACGATAACTCCTATAACATCAACTGCAAATTCTACATCAAATACAACTAATACTACGGATACGTCAAGGCATAAAGAACAAAAAGATTCTAAGTCCAAAGATATGAAACGAGATCGGGAACGTGACAGAGACAGAGATAGAAGTCATAATGACAGAGGAATGGACAGATTAAATTGCGTTAAAGATGAACGCATCAGAAGGGATAGTGGTGGTTATAGTATGGGTGGAGGACACTATAGCGGTAATAGAGATGAAGATCACTGGATATTACCTAGAGATACCAGAGATATAAGAGATGGAAGGTAACCTTCTGTTTGCTAATTATTAATAATAAAATATAACAGTGTGTTCTCTGTAATAAAAGGAAGATATTATTATTAATTTTCTTTTTCTTTTTTTCTTTTTTTTTTTCTCTTTGTGTTCTAATATCTATTATTGTAATATTTCCCACTTATTAAGGGAAAACCATTTATTTACTTTCTACAGGCGATTGATTAATTTAAAAATATTAAATTTGCGCAGATTTACAGACCACAAACGTGATAGATTTGAATCCTATGGTCGATTATCTAGTGGATATCATCGTGACAGAGAAAGGGACAGAGATCGTGGCATGCACATAAACGATAAAAGAAGGTTAGTATTTAATTTTGAAACTTAACATGAGCACATTTTAGTAATTTTTCCTATTAAGAGTAATTAAAATTATTTTACGTAAATTGAATTTTAGTGATTATTACAGATATCCGTCTGGACCACCTAATTACGGTTACGGTCCAGGTAGTTACGCAAGCGGAGGAGGTGGAGGATACGCACCTAATGATATGCCACAAAGTCATTTTAGAGGTCGAGGTTATCCCGGAGATAATTATTCGAATGAATGGCGACCTAGCAAGGATTATAGAAGAGATTATGATAGGAGGCCGCCACCACCAAATGCCAATTCCTAGTGCTCCTTTTTTCGGGCGCTCTTGTGTATTGTCAAGCAAGTTTGAAATTTCGTTGAAACATCATGTAATTTTACACTAAAACAGCACTTTAAGTAGTGCTAATTAACAGAAAGGAAATTTGTGTTAAATGTATTTAATATTCAATATATATATAATCCTTTCTGTTATTTATCACCACTTGTGATTTGTAGCTATGTTAAAAGTCGATTATCCTTCACTGCTTAGTTAACACGCAACAAAATTAATTTTATTAAGATTGGCAAGTACGATCGTATTTAAAACATACTTTAATGATATATAATAGATTGTGCAGAAAAGAAGTAATGATATACTGAAATATATATATATATATATATAAATAAATATGTATATGAAATACATATTTATTGAACTAATATTTTGTTTAAAATCTTTATATTTCTTAAGGTGGAGATTTATTTAATTTTTTATTCGAATAAGACATTAAAGTATATGGGATAATTGATTTTCATTTAGTTAACCCAAAGATAATATATATATATATATATATATATATCTTTCAAATACATCATTTGAACATAATGATCAACTTTTTTTTATATATTAAAGATTTTACGAAAACTATTCTTAACAGAGAAAGAAAGAAATAATGTATCTCAGTAATTTCTATAAAATTAAAATTATGTTCAAAAGTCTTCTTTGATAAAGAAGATACATCTAATTATGAAATATCTACGATCACAAGTAATTCTATGAAATCAAGTTATACAAAACTGAATATTAAGAAATAGTTTGTATTGTCGTTTATCGCTCCAATTAACGATCCATTTGTTAAAAAACAGAATGCCTTCCCATTCATTTCATCACTCATGTATTTTTGCATTTCCAATTCTATATTTGTACAGGTCCATTCATTTTGGGTGTGTTACTTAGAAGATAATTATCGATCATTATTAATAGCTCATTTCATTTTAAGATTACTTCTCTAATATTTTAAGAAATTAATTTGTAATTAAAAATATATCGATATAGTATGCATGATAACAATGTATAGAAGAGATTTTTACAGAATTTTCGTTGTACATCAATTTTTGCATTTTATATTATATTACACAATATCTCAATTGGAAATCATATCGATAAAAAAAAAAGATAAGATAAATTTTGTGCTAATGTGCAAATATAAGATTTGTTAAAAATTATTGCGCTTCATTGAAAAAGCAATGATCATATATATATAGAATTTGAAACCAGCGATAATCCAATTTTGATCACTTTTTTTCTATTCATTTTTATAAAGTCTTACAATCGTTTTGATAATTATGACAGTGAAGTAAGTTTTAAAAATTGCAATTTTATAATAATTCATCTTGAAATATAAATAATTGCAATATATAAAGTATCGGTAAAAGTAATTTTTTCAATGTCAGAAAAAAATCATTGTCATAATTATTGGCATGATTGTCTTAGAAAGGATATACATCGACGATAATTATTCTCTACATTTAAGTTATCTTTTCTTTACAATATAACAAGTTTTTGTCTTACCCAAAAATAAGATTGTGAAATATGTAAATATTAGAATAAGATTAATGGTTGTATTCTATCTTTAACTGTAGGGCCTATGAGAGAAAGAGAGAGAGATTGTTTCCTTACTGATAAGTTTCCTTACTGAAAAAAAAGAAAATATTGAAAGAAAAAATTTGTTTTAAAATAGTAACAGGAAGACTGATGTCTTCTCTCAGCCCTGCTTCAATAAAAGATAGACGAATATAATTATAGAGATATGCGTAAGAAAAGGAAAATGAAACAAAGAAAAAAAAGGAATTTTAATTGTATAATTATAAGACACTCTCCAAGAGAAAAGCATTGATCTATTGAAATATTTTTTAATTCGACTCTTGATAATCATGACGTTTATATAGCACTTTTCAATAGGAGTACCGAATACGCACCATTTATCATGTTGTGTGGTGTTTTATAAAATATTCCATTTTTTCGTATATCTCTTATCTATCTTTATATATATATATATATATCTATATATATATATATATATTTGTATATACATCTATGATAATGTATATGTGTATATATATATATATATATAATATATATATATATATATATGTATGTATGTATATATGCTGAAATTTTGTAATCGCGTATAAGAAAAAAAAGGAAAGTGATCAAAAGGATTAATTGATTTATTATTAATGAATAAAAAGTGTTTAACAAACACGTAAAGAAAAAAATAACAAATTCATTACAATGGTATGAATTATTTTACGATTTAAACTCATCTTCAACACTAAATAATACTATGCCTTTATTAGATTGTACAAAAAAATGAAAGGAAACAAAAACCATGAAGAAGAAGAAGAATAATAATAAAAACAAAATAACAACTATATACAAATTATTTTGTAGATTATTTTATTCATATAAAACTATATAATTATTAATTGATAGATAACATTTTGCAACTTTAGTGTGCATTTGTATAAATATTAGAAATATATATTAGTATATAAGAATTTGGACAGAGTGATGATTTATATATATATGCATATGTATAAATATAATTATATTAGTCTTGCTAATATGTTAATCATATTTTGTGTCCGACATACATACATACATACATAAATGAATAGGATTACATAAGAGACATGCATAAAATACATATTTGTGAACAGAAAAATACATGTGCGCCGCACCGTGATAGAAAACAGCTAGTTTAATTTTTTAATTGCAAAGTGATGTTCTCTCAAAAAAAGCAGCGAGCTATTTTTAATTTATTATTAGCTGAGTACAAGTCATAAACATTAAAAGAAGGACAAACAAACAATGTAAATATAATATAAGAGAATAAAATAATTATTAATTATACAATATACACATGATTCAATACCATTTGCGTATACAGGCTTGGTTCTTTTACATTTTCAGCCTCTGAAAGTTAATAACATTAATAGAAATTTGAATTAGAGACAGAAATATCTTGTCAATTAATTCATTCGATTAAATATTATATGATTTTCTTTTTTCCAATTTTTGCTTTTTACAAGATCTTGTGTGTATGTGTTCTCATTGATAAGATTATTAATTACACAAATCTGTTTTATACATATATATCTATTACTATTTATATGTACAAGTAACTGTCGTTTATTGCGATTCTGGTCAGTACAGATTCGTTATAGAAACTGTTTTTTTTTTTTGTATATTTTAAGTGTGTTATGTGTATGTACAGAACTTGTAAGCTTTAAGGATCGATCATTCTTTATTCTCTTTATCATAAGAAATTGTAGAATAGTATATGTCCCTGGTGTTTATGTAATATCTGTGTGGTTTGGCGTTAAGAAACAGGAATAATTTATTCATTGTCAATCGAACTTTGATCGGATATAAATTCTTATTACATTTTTTTTGTTTTATTATTATCGATCTCCTCCAACCTCATGCATATTTCAAAAACATTCAATCCGTATTTGTAAGTATCGGTAAGTAAAAATTGGTTCAGAAAATACGTAACGTAGTGACTTAAAAAAAAAAACCTAAAACTTATAAAAATTATAATATGTGTGACATTATTTTGTTATGAATAATATTTATTTTATTAATAAAATGTTTTTTTTCGAATTTTAAAATGATTTTTCTTTTAAAATTATAATTCGCATAACAACTATAGACATGATTTTTACTTTAAGAGTATATAGTGTATTATCATGAAAAGACCTCGAAACAATTTTATATACAGGGTGTCTAAGATTTCTTCGTACACACCTTGCGAATAAAACTAAATGATCTATGTTTATGAAACATTTTTGTTATATTTTTAACATAACGAAACGCTCATAACGTGTGCATGAAAAAATCTCAAACATATAATAAAAATATAATAACTGTATATAAAAAATGATGACAATTATATTCGTTTGCATGAAACTACAAAAAAAACATTAAAAAATAAGACAAGTTTATTTAGAGCAGTGTTTCTCAACTGATTACATTCCACAAATCAATCAATTTGTAATTTTATTAATAAATTAATTGTATTTATATTTTTTCAAAGAATAATAAAAAGAAAAAAAAAATAATCGATGAAACTATACAAAAGTAAATTAGTTAACAAGATGTTAAATTAATAAACAAAATTAAAGGAAAAAAAGGTAATACTTAAATAATTAAGTGAAATATAAATAATAATTATAATAGCAAAAATTAATGTAATCGTTGTTGATTCTTTTCAATAAATGTTTTTTCAAGGGGGGATTTACTAATAAACCATTTTTGATTTTAAGAATGTTATTGTCGAAAATTGTTAAGGTTTTTTTTTTGTAATTCTAGATATCTAATTTTAATTTTACCCCAAAAATGATTTATAACTTTTGCAATTATTTTGCGAACCATCGGTTGGGAGATACTCTTCTAGGGGATTATTTTTCTTTTATCAATGAATTATATGTTAAATCAGTGATCCCATTCGTACGATAATTTGAAGCCTTGTACAATCCAAAATTCAGCCTGGAAAACTTGATGACCTTTTTTTTTTTTTTT